ACCTGGTGGCCCCAGAATGTCTCGTAAATGACAGGTTTTTGTCGCGCTTAAAGTAGAACTTTGTAAGACAAGTTTACATTTGCATTAATATTAAAATAATAACTGTACAATATGTAGTGGACTGATGATGCATAAACGCTATCTTTATATACTCTATTCTATAAAACGGTTTAAAACGCAAAAGTTAAGAGTTAATTTACTTTTAACTACAACCAGACTCTTCGAATGCATTACAAACCAAGCCTTGGTAAGAATTACCTTATTCTACACACCACAGAAAACACATATTATTGAGGAAAAATCTAACGTAATATTTTATAAATGAAAGGCGGCCTTGTCGCTTAGTAGCGATCTCTTCCAGTCAACCTGAAGTGCAGGAGAAAAGAAACAAAAAAGGTCTTTGATGTACCACCACATTTAACCAACCCTGTAAGCTATAAATAATTTTCTATAACAATTAAAACTGATATATTTAGATGTCTAGTGAGGAATATAATATATAGCTTTGTATCGTCAAGTGTTTTTCAGTTTCAGTGTAGATGTTTACAGTTTAGTCTAAGTGGCATTAAACACTCTTAACTGTCTACGGTTGAAGCAAGTGGTGCTCATTGAATTAAATACTTATAACGGTTCAAAATGCGAAATGTATAACTTACTTTTGTTATCCCTCGTGGTTATCGTCCTAAGTAGCTACAGAAACCGTCGATAAAAATAATATTAATGCCCAATACCCAATATTGATTTATATATTAAATTAATTAATAATTATAATTAAGAAGAGTTTGTTTTTTGTTTGTTTGAACGCGCTAAGCTCGGGAACTACTGTCTACTATAGTGGAGTAAAGGAGCGAAGAAACAGCGGGAAATATGGAAAGAAATGGGGAACATTATTCATCTTTGCGCGTTTCCAATGCATATGGTGCGAAAACGGTTAAAAATAACACGATATTGCCATAAAAATATTACGAAAGAATGAATTCTCTTTGAATAATCGCAAAATAATATGTTTAAGATGACTTGCAAACACGACAGGACGGACGGACTACGTCGTGGGTAGAAGCTATAATTTATAAAGTTGAGGTTTGCAAAAACGAATTTGGATGCCCAAAATAACTACGCGGACGAAGTCGCTAACACAGCTAGTTATAATCTAGTAACACTCACCACAATAATTACTCTACTTCTTTTTCTTAGAACACATTTTAATAATGGTGTTATCGTCGACAATTATCTCTTTATCATTTTTATCATTACGAAATAGAAAATTGCATATCCATAGTTCAATACGTATTACAATCAATTTCACTGAATAGGTTCACACGTTAATTGTCATAAGCGAAAGTGAACACGCATTACTTTCCAGTGGATGGATTAATAGAAGTGCATATGCAACAGAGTTGAACAATACCGATATTCTGAGGCCAAAAAACATATTTCAAACTCATTGCATGAGCAACTAAACTTTTTAGCTTTGACAGGCCAGTCGAATCGTAGCGATGTTGTGCTATAGTCTGTACATATTTAAATAAAGCACTTCAACGGTTTAAAACGCTATATAACTTTCGGATGCTTTGTAGCAGCCATGATCACGGGAAGACATGGGGGCGTAGTTAAAATCATTTTTAAATAAGATTAACTAATATATTTCGTGTTTTAAACCGTTAAAATGTTTTTATTTAAATGTGTACTCCCCGCGTAAACTACAGACAGTATTATGTATTTGAATGGCTTATAAACAACGGGTCGTGGGTACGATCGCCATTAGATCTAATATGTCTTTAATATTATTCTGAAGTATATAAGATTCCATCAGGAGATCTGGATATTTCATTGGTGGTAATAGCGAAATTCTGCCCTGGTCACGAACCACCGTCCACAGATGAAAAAGCCGTGTAGTTTTGGCTTCAGTCTGTGGATTTCCGATTATCTAAATGTTGAGATTATATATGTTTGGCTAGTTCCTCGTCCTCCTTTGTCATAAATAAAAAATAATTTTCACATTTTTCTTAACAAGTTAAACTCAATATATAGAAATATGCTTATATGTAGAAAGGGTGTGAAATTTTTTGCTTTTATTTTTTCCGAATAATACAAAATAAGAAGATTATCATTGTCACTGTTATAATAGCTTTTGTCTTATAAATAAGAACTAGGCATTTAAATAAAACACTGTAACTGTTTAAGACAGCAGCCGTGGTCATGGGGAGATACGGCTGCTGCAAAGCACCCGAAGCGTCGGGCCGTATTTAAATTAGTTTAACTAATATATATCGCATTTGAAACCGTTAAATGTGTATTAATCGTGTAAATTATAGACAGTATTTACGAACTAGGCAATAATTTATTTCATCCACTGCCTAAGAAAGTCCAAATCGCCTTCAAACTGCGGTCGCATAAAGCCGGCCACAACTTAAAACAATAAAACATTTGGGTAAGATGAAAACGGCAATTTATGATACGAGTTACAAAGCGCTGTAAATCTAGATTCCATTTAGGTCGTCCATGCTTTCTTTATGACAAATTCGTAAATATAAAGATATTTTTTTTTTACTCTTCAATAAATTTTGAAAAGCACTGGAGCAACGCAATTCTTCAGCGCATAAATAAACTAACAATATAAATAAACGAATTGCTGTTTAAATATTCTCTGTGGTTTAAGCGAGTAGTACATATTAAATAAAATACTTTAACGGTTTAAAACGCGATACTATATATTAGTTAAACTTTTTAGTAAATAATTTTAACGACGGCCCGACGTTCCGATGCTTCGCAGCAGCCGTGGTCATGGGAAGACTGGTGACCCCGTGACCCCATGTAAAATAATTTTCAAATAAGTTTAACAAATATATATCGCGTAAACATATGTTTATTTAAGTGCAGTAAAGACAAATAAAATTAGAAAACACATGTAAAAGTCTATAAAAGTAATAATTGTGTTAAGTTAAACTATGTAATATCGATTCTACTTCCGTAGGTACTTTTTTCGTAAAGTTTTTAATCGATTATAAGTTTTCTTTAAACCGAGAAGTGATTCACGTTTATTAAAACGTGAAAGCTGCAATTGAAGTGCATACTAAGTGATTTCGTACATTTTAAAAATCGATACCTAATCGATATTCGATCTTGTCAACACAGGCTATATTTGACAGTACGTTTATTGCATAAGAAATCAGTTTGACAGGAGCGTGTGATTAGAATTCAAATTAATATCCCGAAATACTTTATTTGATACCTTATTAATTGCTGACTTACATCTACCCTTAGAATAACATGTATTTCGAAAATATTATATTTTATACAAATAAACAGCCTTAATTTTTGTAATATGTATAAGTACTTATGTCATATTCTTATTAAGTAACGTTATGTGTTACCGAAAGTCTCCTTTTATGTAAGAAGACAGTACGATGTTTTCTCAATAAGAAATCTGTTATTTAAAAGCCAGAGTACTTTTATAAAAAATGTTTTAATTTTCATATTAATTAGGCAAGGTGCTGTTTTTTATAAAGGATGGAAGAAAGAGACAAACTCGATGGAAAACAAAAAGGCCATTTGACACTGTTGACCTATTTTAGGTTTGAATGTTACTAAATAATATTTTAATCTATACTTATATTATAAAGCTGACGAGTTTGTTTGTTCAGGACCTTATCTTAGGAACTACTGGGTTCGAATTGAAATCGAGGAAGCCACACATTGTGACCGCGATAGTGCGAAAAAATTGTGAAAATATGAAAAAAATATTATTTATATCTTTAAGGGTGTCCGTCGCGTGCTATGCTAATGATTCAAGTAACAAAAAAAAACATGTATGGAAGAATGATTCCTGTTTAGATGAGCTAGAAAATTGTCAGCGAGAGTATATGTCTCTCTTTTAAGATTAACTCGCAAGAGTCGTTTTTATGGTAATCAAACTTGATCTAAATTAATGCATTTTTATCAGAGTTGCATCAACATAATAATATTAATCTCGCAAACGACAAAACAACATTTGTCGTGTTTTAGTTCATAGCACGATGTTTACAGTTTAAACACTTGTTCATGTCAAGTTCAATACCACGAGCTTGAATCTCGTTCAATGCTATTATAGCACAATGGACATATCAATGCTTACGTTGATTTATAATCGATTGTTGAATGAAACCGGTCCCTGTGGGCTGAGCATCAGAACTTGAATATTATGCGGGTAGGCAATCAACCTGACCTGTAACACATTTAACTCGGTCAGCAGGTTTAATCCTTGCCGTTCTCGTGTTTAGCATTCCTTGAAAAGTCAACATTAAACGTTACTTTTATTGTCTTTACTCGTTTATGTAACTTGTTAAGTCTACGCTAATATTGCGTTCATTCGGTCTGTGCGCATGTTTGACTTCAAATAGGCGTTTTATACGGTTGTCATAGACGACTATTTATTTAAAATTGCACATTAATTTAAGTTAATGTGTTCCTTAAAGCAAGTAACTTAAAGCTTTGTTAAATATTTCTAACTTAAGTGTCTGTGACATAAAAAATGTAAGTATATTATAAGAATGTAAGTCTTCCTAACTCATAGGTAAAAAATATAGAAATGAACCAGCAATAAATGTTAAAAAAATATATAAATTCATTAGATACATGTTAAACCTAGGGATCAAACTCATGACTCGTGATTATTAGCCATACATTACGATGATACACCAAGAGACTAACGAGGACGTCAAACGTGCAAAAGATTGATCACAATAAAAGTAAAAGACAATTGAAAGAATTTAAATTCAAAACAATTTATAACAAATAACACAATGTAAAAATAATATATCATTTTTGATTGAAATAAAACACTTTAACGGTTTAAAACGGGATATAGTCGATGCATATTAGTTAAACATGGTTGAAAAGCCTATGCGGTCGATCGTCGGGCCATAGTTAAAATTAAAATAGTTTTCAAACAAGTTTAACTAATATAGATCGTGTTTTAAGCCGTTAAAGTGTTTTATTTACATGTTTACTACTCGCGTAAACTACAGACAGTTTTTCATCTTTGATTGCTGAACTCCCACATCAGTAGACGCTTCTGTGAAATCGTCATTCAAATCCAACGCACTATCGAAATATTTTCTACCATATAGTCTCTTGAATTCTGAACTACACGGTATTAACAATTCGTAAAAGAAAGGAGGTACATTCTCGTACACAGTCTTATCTCCGATGACAATAATTTTGATTGTAAAATGCACACAGTCCGTAGAATTTTCTGAGCCACTCCTAGGACACAATCTAACCTGGAAGACATTTTTGGATAACGCTGGTATCAACACCTCCATTGGAGTTATCTGGAACAGTTTTTTCATTTTCTTCGTCAATTTAATTTTGATAGTGACTGGAATGAATTTGTGCTTGTTGATTATTGTAAAGTAATCTATACAGAATCCAAACTTCACTGTCGAGTTCGTCATGTCTAAGATAATTGGTTCAATTTGTATTGGATGTGGTAATATTTCTGAAAAAACCCGTACTCTTTTCGTCATTACTAAGTTGTTGTTATTAGGGTTGATGAAGTCTAAATCATAGGAACAATGGTGTGAACCGATGTGTTCGGCTTTCGTGAAAATCGCCCTAATATTATAAACACTACCCGGTTCTAAATAGAAGTATGTCTTGTCAAGAACGAAACATTGTAGAGAATTATCAATGACCTCCATCAATAAATTGGAAACTATGGTGTCTATGCTAATTACTTCTTCCTGCGGGATCTCATTGAATTTGGATGAGGAACTTAATAAGTTTTGTGATGTGACATCATCGTTTCTTTGGACAATGCTCTCCGTTGTCGGTGCCTGCACATCAAGAGAATTCACACTATCTAAGTCTAAGATTTCGGACCAGTTTATATCTCGCCTCTTTATATGTAAATGGTAGCTATATTTATCTTTAACGCGAATTGTAATATTTCCGCATGGATAATTAACTTTTCCAATTTTCCATAAATAGGTTGATGGTATTAAAACTGATTCTGTAACTTCAATAGACCTTTGTTCTAGATATTCACAAGTGAATCTTACGCTTAGAATTTCGTCAGGGGTATCGGCAGCAACATGACCAATTTTAAAGTTTAATACTCCTTCAAACTCTGTTGCATTAGGATTCAATTTAAAATGTAAACAGTATACCATAGAGAGACCTGCGTACAGTTTTACGGGAGTATTTGGCATCAATCTGAATTTTTTTAGGTTTATTCGATTCGGTATGCCCATAAAACGAATGAAAACCCATTCATTTATGCAGTTTCTTAAACTAAACTTTATGACATGATTGTTCTTTAACTGCTCTTCATTGTATATTACTTTAATTGCTTCTGGGTAGCATTTGATTGAATTCGTTAGATTAAGAGGCAATTCCTTATCATTTATCTGGTCTGGTACAGTAGACTGCCTACTCGAATAATGGCTTAGAGGAGTGCAATGTGAACCAAGAGGGGACAGAAGTTTATGAGGATTGGTACAGATAATTGCTGGCAATTTAACGGAGCTATCGGATTTTACATCTATGTCTGCATCTAGTAATTTATCTTTGATGTCTTCTTTAGGTTCAACGATTTCTGTATTAGGATGCGCCGTGGACCTTATATCGCTATCTTCGCCCAGTTGTTCTTCACTTATGTATTTTTGTTTAAAGGAATGAATAGATTCTGGAATTGCTTTGATGTATGTTTTACGTTTCTGTTGTATGTTCAATTCAATTTCTTTCCACACTTTTGAAGTTCTTGCAAATTTTTGGGTTAAAGTAAAAGGGGATTGTCGGTATTTCTGAATGTAGAGGTTTTCGATGATATTTCTTTTGCGTACCGATGCATTTTGTAGTCTAGTCTTGAACTCTTTCTCCGCAGAATAAAGTCGTTTTATCGCATCTTGCCATTGTGGTATAGTTCTAATATCGACTTTGTGTTGAAATTCCAAGTATTTTATAAAGTTTTCGACGTTCGTTCCGAAATTATAAATTTGTCTTATTCTAATATGCTCACATTCTGGTACATTCATTTTTATTACAAACGGTACGTTTTGTAGTAAAAATGCGAAAGTTTACAATATTTTGTATAAAAGATGATTTCAACAATAATAAACAAATTGACATTGACAAATTGAAGGTACAGATTATATTATTGAGAATGAAGTTATTAAATTATCTAGTAAATGAAAAATGTTAGAAATGTAATTTGTTTTTAAATGTCTATATTATTGCTCTCATTTAAATGTTATTTAAACCAGGTAAGTTAAAGACATATTTAGATCTTATAAAAAAATGCAACAACTTATAAAAAATACTTTAAAAGAGTACTATATATTGTATAGTTTAAAAATTGTATTAGTATTTGTTTGTTATTAACACAACTGGGGCTCTTATAAATAATCTGAGAGTTTAAATAAATTTAAATAAAACACTTTAACAGTCTAAAACGCGATATATGCTAGTTAAACTTATTTGAAAATGATTTTAACTATGGCCCAACGTTTCGGATGTAGCAGTCCCACGATATTTAAATATTACAATTGTTTTATTTTATGTTATTATTAGACTTGCAACGAATATTCGGTTACTATTCGGTATTCGGCCTATTCGGCTGCTTTTATTATATTCGGCCGAATACCGAATATCTACATATTATTCGGCCGAATAACGAATACCTAAATAATATATTTTGTCATAGAGAAATAATTGGTAAAATGAAAAATTAAAATCGATTGCTTACGTATATACTTATTCATATTTTTGTTTCTGTTATAATCATATAAGTAGTCATTGGTACATAATTGGTGGAACCCTCACGAGGAAAAATATATACTCATGCTAGAGAAGATCCAAAAAGCCTTTCTGCGGTTTCTTTACAAACACCAATACGGTTTTTACCCCTACTTGTATCCTACCTTGTTTTTATTAGGACAGCTTGGCTTTAATTCTCTTGTAAGTCGCAGATCTCGTGGGCAATTAGTTGTAGCTTGTAAGTTGTTTCGAAACCAAATCGATGATACTTATTTGAGGGAAGCCTTCTGTCGACTGTTTGTACCGAACAACTATGGCCACGCTAGAAGACACGATCTCTTTGACGTCCCGAGAGGTCGCACCTCTGCTCGCGCGTTTTCGCCGATACCACGAATTTTAACCTCACTCAACGCTCTCCTCAAGTTAAGACCCAAATGTGATCTTTTCGCAGATCACTGGTCATCAATACTGAGAGAATTGTCTGATTTTTAAATTTTGTCCTAATGTAATTGATGCATACTCTATTGTTAAGTGTAATTCTATTGTGTACAGAAGTACACAATAGAATATTGGATAGAAATCCAATTAATGTAAGTGAGTTGTGAGTTTTAATTGTCTTTATAATAAATAAATAAATAAATAATACTATAATAGTAGTAATTGGTACATAATAATAACGAGTACGTTAGAACAAAACAAAGGAGCGCGAAACAATCACGTCTGTACAAGTTTTTGGAGCAAAAATCCAGCCGAATACTTTTGCCTAATATTCGGCTATTCGGTCAGGGGTCTCGCCGAATATTCGGTATTCGGTATACTGCCGAATATACTATTCGTTGCAAGTCTAGTTATTATGTTAAAGATTGGAGATGGAGAGAATACCGCGAGTTCTACTCAGCATAGCATTAGCTGCGCTCTTGCCAATAGCTTCACCAAATAGCAGCGAAGAGCAAGCCAAAGAAGATATCCCTCATTCGAGACAGAAGAGAATATTATGGATCACGAACGATGGCCGTCTAGCCTTACCCCCCGGGACGACGATGGCAATTACTCCTTCGATTTCTATGCCTTTCGTGCGGCATCCGCCGAAGGGTTTCCTTTCGAACATGACAATAAGTTTTCCATTTACAAGTAAGTACTTTAATATATTTGCAATGGGATATTATCGAACAAATTTTGGTATATATTATGAAAACTTCAATATTTTCACATGTTATTGCACATAATGGCACTATTTAAATAAATAAAAAATACGACATGCTTACAACAGGACGGAACGCAGTGGATGCCAGTTCAAGTTCTGTCCGTGACGATTTTTTTCAATTTACAACCGTTTTTTAATATACATTATGTTTAGTAGTTAAGAGAAAATGGCACTTCTAAATTATAATGGCCTATTAAAAAAAAAACAAACTTTTTTTTTATGTAAAATTTATAAGTCAAGATTCAGTTAAGAGATAACAACTTGCTCGAGAAATATTTAATTAGACTGTTAAATAAATTATTTTTTATGACAAGGGGATTACAGACAAGCATGAGATTTACTTGATGGTAGGTGAAACACTCCAGCCAAATAACTGGAATTGTCTGATTTGCCTTCAACATATATTTAAATAAAACACTTTAACGGTTTAAAACGCGATATATTAGTTAAACTTATTTGAAAATGATTTTTAACTTCGGCCCGACGTTTCGGATGCTTTGCAGCAGCCGTGGTCACGGGGAGAAACGTCGGGCCGAAGTTGAAAATCATTTTCAAATAAGTTTAACTAATATATCGCGTTTTAAACCGTTAAAGTGTTTTATTTAAATGTGTACTACTCGCGTAAACTATAGACAGTATTCAACATATATTACAAAGTTGATTAAAACATCGTCGTATAGAAACAAACGTTTAGAAGCTTTGATATACAGAGATGTACTTTTGCAGGTACTCTAATGTATCAACTGGAGTGTAAAAGTCAGTATTGGAGATAAAAACTATGTAGAAAAGTCTAATAATGTAGACGTAGGTTAGACTACCTAGCTAAACCATAGCACTAATTTATTTAGATCTTTTATCTTAACATTCTAGACTAGGTAGTTGCCAGTAGTTAAAATTAAATAAACCTATGTAGATTAGATTTAGTAGTGGTAAAAATCTAATAAAATAGTCTTATCTACCTGTGGTTATCGCAATCGCCTACAAACTTTTAACCGTTTAAAACCGTAGTGATTTATTTAATACGTTTATAGTTATAATGTTTAGCTAATACATTAAATATGAAGTTTTGTACTCTTAGGTAAAATTATTACCTATTTACATTAAATGATACACTTTTAACGGTTTAAAATGAGAATGACGTAAATAAGACGCTTTAACGGTTTAAACCGCGATATATATTAGTTAAACTTATTTGACAAATAAGTCACGGGGAGACATCGTGACCGCGACTGCTGCAAAGCACCTGACACGTCGGGTAGTAGTTTAAATAAGTTTTACTAATACATATTGCGTTTTAAACCGTTAAAGTGTTTTATTTAAATGTGTATTACTTGCGTAAACTACAGACAGTAGTTTGTGCGAATGATATTAGTTTTTAACTACGTTTTGATGTTTCGTTACGTGCGCAACTAATATATTTCGGGTTTTAAACCGTTAAAAGTGTTTTTAATGTGTACCATTGGTGTAAACTACAAAATATTGAATTATTTACAGTTGACTTCGATAAATTGGGTTTAACTGATAACGAAAATCCGTATGGTGACTTGCCGCCAATATTTGCAAGATCCATGGGAAATACTGCAGCGTCGTTGATGGCGGACTATGTTGGGCAATATCTGGAGCACAGACGCGGTAAACGGTCGACGGACAAAAAAATACCGCCAGAAGCCGAGAAGCTTGTTCTCGATAGATTCCACGGTGGGGAACGGTTAGTAAAAACGATACGATAGCTAGTTACAATAATTTTAAAAATAACTGAATTTAACGCGCTTATTTCTGGTCATTTCTTTCCTACAAAACAGAGGAGGGTAGACAGGCGTGGGTTTAACTTAATGGAAGGTAAAATAAGGCCACATAACACTTCAACAAGGTTTTCGAGAATAATAAAAGTCAAACAAGGACGACGTTGATATAGGCTGGCGTATTTCACCTACGATCGAGTGAATACCGTGCTTGTCTGTCCTCCTTAATTAGAAAAAAAATGTCGTTCTAATGTATTATTGGATATTCTCAAATCCACAGACTGAAACCAAAGCGTGAGTAAACTAGACTTAACTTTAGTGTCTGTGCTGTGTTTGGTAACTATGGTTTCGTACCTCTTCCCAGATCAAGTCCAACATGTTTCAGAACAATTGCAAATAAATAAGAAATATATTAGACCTGTTGTGAATCGAATCCCAAAAAAAAAAAAAAAAAAAAAAACCCCCCCCCCCCCCCCCCCCCAACCCCCCCCCCCACCCCCCCCCCCCCCCCCCCCCCCCCCCCCGCTCCCCCCCCCCCCCCCCCCCCCCCCCCCCCCCCCCCCCCTCCCCCCATCCACGACCAGTTAATTCTTAGCAATACATATCTATCATTAGACCGACGATCGGCTTTAATTCCGATGTTTTTCTTCGTCGAACCTGTATCGGAATGTATGTGGAATCTCGCTTCTTTTAGTGAAGCATGGGGCAGATACATTTCTGTGTCCGTTTCACTGACCTATTTTATTAAGACTCTGATCAGACTACTGAATTACCAAAGGCATAAATATCCTGGTTATCACGACTGCACAAATGGTCTATTTTTGTTGACATAAACTAAATTTAGTAATAATTCGGGTTTTATATCGTTTAAAGTGTTTTTTAAAAGTTTAAAGTTATTTATATAAGTGCACGTTTGATCGAGATAGTCGTGTGCATGTAGATTGGGGCTCGCTCTATCTGAATTTGTTTGAACGCGCTAATCTCAGAAACTATCGGTTAGAATTGAAAAAATATTTTTGTGTAAAATGTTTATCGAATCAGGTTATATAACTGCTGTAAAACAATATTGAAAAAAAACTTTTCACATACATTTTAGGAATACATGTGTTAGATATAAATTAAAAAACCAATTATAGATTGAAAATTTTTTTGACGCGGTCAACATTTGGAAATGTAGAAAAATGGGAAATTTTGTCAAAATCGAGGCCTCTATGTTCAATAAACCAAAAAATAAGTACGAAATAATGATTCTAAGAAATGTCTGCGACAGTATGTCTATCTTTGAAGATTATTTTCGCGAGAATAATATATAGTCTACATGAAAGTAATTATTATTAGCAATTATCTGTTAGAGCTGTTAACATCATAATAATTATGTATCTTGAAAAAAAAAAACATAGTTCAGCCAGTAGTATATTAACTCAAATATGCAGCTCGATAAATAAAAACGATTACCAGCATAATACAAAAATGCATCATTCGGCCCCATAAGAAACGGTACCTCGACCTTGTCTTGGGAAAATTGCGCATCGGGTCACCTGTCGAAAAAACATGACCGTAAAATTAATAAAGGTGTTTAAGGACTGGACGATTGTCCACCCACGATGGCCAGTTGACAATAAATATATCCGTTACTTTCACTCGGACAAATCGGGACACGCTATTTTGGCTTCGCGTGTAGGAAGCACAGTAGATAAATATTGATTGCGATTCTGTTAGTTTCGTCTGTTATGTAACGCTTTGTTTTTGTATGCACGACGTGTAACGCTGGTAGTTACGATGTTGCGTATAAACACTAGCAGTGCCCGCGACTACGTCCGCGCGGAATAGATTTTTTGAGCAGCATTTTTATTTTTGCAAATCCTGACGCGTTCTTGCGTTAATCTCAAAAGATAGACGTATATTGTCACAGACATTATTTAGATTTTCGTTCATTAGATAGATTAGAGTATCTTGAAGCGTTAAAAGCCTTCAAAGTTAATAAATTTTCCAAATGTCCTTCTTTTTCTCTGCGGCGTGATGTTTTATAACCTAATCCCTAGCAGTTTCAATTAACATAACTGGCTTTAGCTGTTTGTAAAAATGAACAAATAAATAAATACATAAGCGTGTGAACTCTTTACACCGATGAAAGCATAGCTCTACCTCTACGCTAAGCTAAACCTCCTACTTACCTGTAATGCTTACGTCATTGGATTCCAACAAATGTACATCTTTATTATTCCCTTACCTCACGTTTTTGGAATAATGCACAGGACCGGATACTTTCACTGTCAAATCATTTAAGCATTAAGCATTAACAAACATCCATACATTTTAAATTTTTTATGTTTTTAAAATATTTACACTTAAAACAATATTGTCAGTAGTTTATGCGAGTACTACACATTTATATAAAACACTTTAATGATACATTAATATTGCAGGGCACTTATGTACGGGATTGCTGAAGATCTTTTAGCCAATTTTGGCATGGACGGTAGAGAGTGTCTCCTACGCGCCATTTGCGAAGTGCATGCGCATCCATTACAGAACTTTGGGTTTCTTGGTGAAGTTATGAAACTGTTCTTTAGGTAAGTTCTTTTTAGTACTAACTTCAACGTTCGATTCGAACCCACGTCCACAACCTTTGCTGTAGGTACCAACTGAACTACTTCCTCCACTCATTCACATCTTTAATCGATTTCAAGTTAATGATTTTCAGTACATATACCCGATAGTAGTTCTAAAAAAAATTTAAAGCGTTTGGTTTAAATATAATGTTTTAACATTCTTATTTTACGCCTTTATTTATTTCCATCCATGGAAAAAAAAATATGAACATATAATTCTGTCTATTTCTCTTATTTTATTATCTCGCCGTTTCCTTAGTTTTTTAACCTTTGGTATAACTAACCTACCCTGTAATACTAAAGTGTGTAATACTTTTGGTGTCTTTCTTACGTTTGAAATTAAAAAATCAACCAATTTTTTTGATCAATGTATCTTAAAATTAATGCCTTCATTTATTAATAGTCAAAAATAAAACTTTATCTTCATTATAAAAAACAAGTTTCTAAATATCCTTACGGTATTGTAACCCGTATTTAAGGATTTCTATATTCATGATAAGTTAATGAACTTCCAGCAGGTCGTTTGAATATTGATGACAATCACGTGCAAGTGTTTTTAAATTCCAGTCCGAGCAAATCTCCGTATGCTGGCCTGATGGATGAATATGTCAAGGCCCAGAAGGCTGGAGAATCGGGAGGTGAATGCTGGCCTTACTATAGATTGTGTCCAAAGAGCATATTTCAATCTACGAAAAATAAATACGCGTAAGTGTGCGTTTTATGAGTCAGTTCTACAAATTCTAATTATAAGGTGTTAGTCTAACTTTAACAGAATAGTGAAATTCCGTTTCCCCTGTGGGGCATGACGCGAACACATTTCTGTGTTCGTTTCGCTGATCGGTTTTATTTAGAAGTAGTTGATCAGACTTCTAATGCTAAATGGTTAAACGTTTTGCCCAGGACCCAGTCCCTGAGTTCTAATCCTGAGCAACCAAAGTTTACGTCGACCACAGAAGTCTGAAATTTAAATAAAACTAAAACACTGTGAAATGGCCACAGAAATGTATTCGCCCTATGAAACATATTTCCGCGTCTGTTTCACAGATTGGTTACCCGCAAACGTTCTTATGCTATATAAATTACTTCTAGAGTTTATTTGTGTAGAAAAGGCTCTATTATAACTATTTTTTTTTATGATAGGAGAGGACACACAGTGTGTGTAACGAATTTATGTATGTTCATACAACGTAAAAATTAGCTTCAGCCGTCTCGGAAGAGTTCGCGTATAACCACTGTGACAGAAAAATTTCATACATAAGATTATAGATAGTGTTTTAAACGAATCTAATTCAATTAATTGTAGTATTATGATAACTTAGTAAGTTACAGTCTACCTAGGATTACCTCTAATATCCTCGTGAGGTTAAGTACGTTTTCGATAACCTTTGCATAGTTTGATGTAATCTTTGACCGCAGTTCCAACTGTGTTAGCATTTAAAGCTTTGTACCGTATTATTATAAAATTATTCACTACAACAATGAGTCTTATTAGTGTTTCATTAAACTCGTTGGTATAATGTATGGCTAATATTTGACTCGGTAGCTCAATTGGTAGAGCAACAGCACGGAACGCTGACGATGCCGCGTCAAGCCCTGCCCGAGTCTAACATTTTTTCAATTTATTTTCGATTTTTAAATTGTATGGCTAATAATCAACGCGTCGTGGGTTCGAACCCCAACGGGTCCAACATTTTCTAGTAAATTAATAACTTTTCTGAAACATGTTGGACTTCGTCTGGAAATATTAGACGGGCGGTGGGAATATCGAAATTCCGTTTGAATTAGGAACCACCGTCCACAGATGTAAATTCATCACTTCCGTTTCAGTCTGTGCATTTCCGAATATCAAAAACAGAAATAGCTCCACAGCGCGTATTGTTTAGATTGTATATGGCTGGCTATTTCCCATTGCCATCAAGTAAATGATTGTCTATCCCCCCTTTTAATAAAAAAATGTAATGAATACTAAGGCAATTAAATATATAACAGATACTTACTTTATTCACTTTATTTTCAGGGAAGATGCCGAAAAATTACACCTACGAGAGGAAGAGAACGAAGTGGAAAACAAAATAGATATTAAAGCTATGTAGATCAACTTATCCCAAATTTAGCGGTAGCGTCCAACCAAAGCCCATTGAAAAGATAGTCTTTATATACACTAATTCTAGATTCAGAGTTCCTCCTTTATATTCATTTGTTCGTTCTACTAATTAATAAGGAAGTAGCGATTTTAGCATCACTAGCGTTACACACTAACGTTACGAAACTATACGACTATTTGTAAGAAATTGAGCCAGTTAATTAGAGTACAATCATAGTTACGTGCTTGACACGGTATTATAATCGTCGTGAGTCTAGAATTTAGTGAATTATTAAATTAATAATTCATAGACATTTTTTCTAGTTACGTTTAGAACGTCAAGAAACACCGTCCACAGATAAAAAAGCCATGAAATTAAATCAGGTTTCGGTTTTAGTCTGTAGTTTTCTAATTAACATACGTCAAAATAGGTCACAGCGTATTTTGTTTAGATGCTATAGGCTGGCGTATATCACTTACCATCAAGTAAACCACATGCAGAAGACAGACAACTCATCTATCATTAAAGCAAGAATGTTATATATGGAATAAATAAAACAGTATATCTGTCTGTCCATTGTATGCAACTTGGGGTCAAAGCGTGTCGCAAAGAAAATCCTACAATACAATATTCCCTACATCATAATAAGATTAATCTATGGTTTTTCGAATATCATGCGCCAAAATAGGCCAGCCACGCATCAACGGTGATATGTTAAATGGCTTATGGAATTTTCACCTTCCATCAAGTGAAGTGCTTCTCGTCATCGTCTATCTTGATATTATGAAAAATGTTTATGAATACTATTGATAAATTAGTGCCATTAAAAAATTAGGTGCATTCCTTTATCTTAATATATGTATTTTAATTAAAACTAATTTAATCTTACTATCACCATTATGTTTAAACAACGCAATAATGTGATATGACTACTGACAAATTTAAATAATTATTGTAGCATCGTACGCCGTTTATTTTTAAAATATCCTATTAGGAATGTTTAATTGTTATTTTAGTTTAATATTTATTAAAATTATTTATTGTATACGCCTGTTTAATTTTAACAACATGAGATACTAAATACTGTCTGTGGTTTCCGCGAGTAGAAGACATTTAAATAAAACACTTTATCGGTTTAAAACGCAAAAGAAAACTATTTTTACTACGGCCCGACGCTTCTAATGCTTCGGGCCGTAGTTAAAAGAATTTTCAAATAAGTTTTACTAATATATATCGTGTTTTAAACCGTTAAAGTGTATTAAATGTATAGATATAAACTCCTGGTCCCTATCAAATTTCCTTTCTCGTTTCTTCGTTTGTTTCAAAGCGAGAAAATATGCATTTGCAGTGAAGATAGTACGGATATAAGTTTTCTTGTTGACACACTTGGGTCGAGAATAACGCCGAAACATCGCATACATATTTCTCGTTCCCTGCGTACGACGACAGACGAACTTTGGCCTCAAATGAAAAGCTCATGTGATCAAATGATAGTATCTTTTCTTAGTATTTTTTGACATGTTCAAGGTAAGCTAATCAATGTTACATCTACATCTGTCTTTATATTCATAATCCTATTTTACAGGTGGAATGTTTAATTACGTGTATTGTTTTGTTGAATACAATGGTTAACAGTGCTTCTATAGTGAAAAGAAGTTATTCAGATCGATCTGTGAGAGGATATGTTACTGAGGTTAGTGGTATAGAATACATACTCTAAGAAATAAGAATACCTGAGCATAGAAAAATCGGTGTAAACTTTACAGCGGACTTGCTGGTGGAACGAAGTGTGCAAAGAGGAATTCCAGACGTTATTCAGATGCAAATGCCCGTCGTGGTCCTACTGCAGAAGTCCCGGGAGGTACTACAATGCAGTTTGCTCTATAACCGAAACTGGATACATCTGGGACCAGCCCAATTCTCAGTGGAGAGGCCAATAACCCACCAGCTTCTTCCACTCAATACATGTGCTGATGAGGAGTACCACCTGAGACTGATACAGTAGGAAAGGAAATCAAATTTCAACATCTATTTTCATATTTAGCACTAAGATTCTTCAACCCTTTACCACATTTTCTCTCGAACTTTGTTATTTTAAAATGGAATAAACGATATGGTGTAAAGCGGTTTTCTCTTCACTTGACCTTGAATATAATTTATTATATATTCCGCTATTACGGTCTCAATGCTTTGACTGCGCATGCGTAAAATATCAAGCACTTAACAAAAGCACCAACAATCAATAAAATCTCAGTTCACATCAAACGAATTCACCACATCATCCAAAACAGTATTTCCAAAATGTTGCCGATTTTACTATTGTTTCTGAGCCTTTACGGAGTTAAGTGTGAACCAGAAACTGTGAGAGACAATTTCGACTATTTCAGTTATGGGAACGAAGAGAATATTTTGAAGAATCTCGATTTACACGCTGTGAGTGTTTCAGAATTTATACGTTCAAGGCTATCCCTAATAACCGGATCAAATTATTCTTTTGTTTTATAATGCCTATACACAACTTTGTGACCCATGCCTTATTTTTCAGCCGAAAGATGACATAGTACTAAGACCTCAAGAGGTCAAGGACTGGCCTCAACAGTCGCTGAATGTAGGACAAATTACAGCTGTGTCCATCAATTCTTTAGGCCAGCCTGTTATATTTCACAGAGCTGAGAGAATATGGGACGAGAGGTAACAATATAAACAGCTATTTTAGTAACATTTTTTTTATGATAGAGAAGCTTTGGTTCACTTGATTGTAGGTGAAATATGCTGTGGATCTATTTTGGCTTTAGATTGGTGGTTAATCTAGGACTACATATCGATATTCCTACCACCTATTTATTATTACCAATTAGAAAAATCTCGGAACCAGGGAGGATCGAATCCACGATCGGTGTCATGCATTGTTACCATCATACCATAACATTGAAAAACTTACGATGTTAACATTTTCAGTACATTCAATGAATCAAATGTATACCAAAATCTGGACAAAGGACCAATAATTGAAGATACGATTCTCGTGCTTGAACCGCAGACTGGTTCGGTTCTTCATAGCTGGGGAGCATATTCGTTTTATATGCCGCATGGCTTGACTGTTGATCATCATGATAACGTTTGGGTGACGGACGTAGCGAAACATCAGGTTTTCAAGGTAAGACCTTCATCATTCTACAGTTACCGGTATCATAACATGACGTTTCACACTGTAGAAATAACGCTGTTGATGGTTTTAAACGCGAAATATACGATAATATAACTGATTTATTTTTGATTTTAAACAGTTTTTGGTTGATGATTGATGAGTAATTAAAGCTTCTTGTTGTTCTTTTCTGTCTGTCTGTGTAAGAGCCACATTACTTTAATTCTAGTTACTAACATGAACATTAGTTTATGTCAAGTCAAATTGCAACTAACCCAACTAACTTTCATTAGATTTAAAAAATGGATCAAAGCTCTGCTAAATTATTTCAGTACACACCTAACAACCACAAATATCCGACTCTAACGATTGGGGAGGCTTTCACGGCTGGCTACCCTTACAGACGACGGGTACTTTTGTGTATGCCAACATCAGTAGCCATCGCAACGACTGGCGAAATATTCGTAGCAGATGGATATTGCAATAACCAGATACTGAAGTTCAACGCTGCTGGTACCCTGCTCTTGGCAATCCCATCTTTCTCAGACACCCTGACATTAAATCTACCACACAGCGTAACGTTGTTGGAACATTTGGACATAGTCTGTGTAGCTGATAGAGAGAACATGAGGATTGTGTGCCCGAAGGCCGGTTTGAAGAGTTATGCGAAGCTACTGGAGCCAGCGACTGTTATTGAAGATCCAACGCTGGGTAGAGTGTTTGCTGTGACGTCACATGGTGATATGATCTATGCTGTGAATGGACCGACTGCTCAGAACATAGCTGTTAGGGGATTCACCGTTAACGCTGTGAGCGGGAATATTTTGGACTCTTGGGAACCAAGCACAGTGAGTGAATTACTAACACGGGATTTAACGGCCTCGTTGGTCTAATGATAGCGATGCTAATCAAGGGGTCGTGGGTTCGTTATCCACCAGGTCCAACATTTTATTACATGAATTTTTCAATATCAATTTTTCTAAAACATGTTGGACTTCGTCTGGAAATCTAGGTACTAAATGGATGGTAGCAATATCGAAATTCCGTTCGAAAAAAACAACCGCCCGCAGATGAAAAAGCCGTGAAATTTAATCGCGTTTCGATTTCAGTCTGTGGATTTCCGAATATTTAAAGCAAAAATAGGTCGACAACGCAACTTATTTGGATGTTACATGGCTGGGGTATATCACCTCCCATGCTGGACTGTGCCCTCTATCATTAATAACACTAATTATTCAATAAAAGTAGGCAGTAGTGTGTAATTTTTAAGAATAAAGACCGGATTGGTTCTGATAAAATTTTTCATAGTTATTAACTTTTTATATACTAAAGACACATTGCGTTAAGCTCAAATCTCGTGGAAACCGACAGTGTAGGTATCTTGATAACCCCGAAAAAATCTAGAACATAGCTTTTCTACTTAATATCTTAAAAATTGCCCTATGTATACTTTTAATTTCGATCGGTAATCAATTGTGTAATTTTCAGGGCTTCACAAATCCCCACTCTCTAGCGGTCACTAGGAACGGATCTCACCTCTACATTACAGAAATAGGACCTAACAAAATCTGGAAGTTCGAGTTGACCGACGTTTACGACAAGAAATAAATTAGATTATCCTCTTCTCGAAGAAGCTTTAAGAGATATTATCTGTTATGTATCAGATCATTGGGACCTGCTTCGTTAACGCGAATTAAATTCGCACACACTTTATATTGTTTAATATAAGATCTATTCTGCTTCTACTTCCTACTTATTAATATTCGATAAGTCAATACATCGTTCAATATGAGGCGGCTAGAGGCATAGTAGCCTAACTGCAATTTTATGACTTGCGTTATTTTTATTCATTCATTCATATTCATTAGAGAGCGTAAATTGTTAATATAATTCTTACACAAATAATAGTACAAATTAAATTTCGCGCATTTTTATTTTTCTCCTTATGTATTTTGTTATTAGGCCACTCTGCCTCTAGCATCCTGAATTGTAAAGAAATTATTACGCACTTTTGATCTTAACGACAAAATGGTAACGCGATCACTCGACTAAAACAAAGTTTATAACAATGTATGAAAACCACGCGATGCGAGCAAGACAAAAGTCGCGCGAAGTTCGCCTCGCTCTTCGCGTCGCCGATCTTTATAGCAGTTAAGTTTACCTATATAAATAATAAATAACATAGACACAACGACGGTCTATATACGTACCTATATAATATTATATTGAGATCTATATAATAAATTTAGTATAGTCAGAATAAAATAAAGTATTAATTCTCTTAAGGTATTACGTTTTAAGATGTTTAAAAGTAGTGTTCTTTTAAGTATCGGAAACCTATAAAAAAATATTGCCTCTGCAGCGTAGTGGCTGCGTCAGGCTCGTTACTCAAAAAAATCTGTATTTTATAAACATTTGAGCCAACGATATACTTATCTGACTTTTAATTGAAGGTATACCAATATTCCACCTGGGTAACTTTGATCTTCCCTAGATGGAAATGCAATATTCGCGTTTCTGCATTATTATGCACTCAATGAATTTTGGAGTGGTAAATCAAGATAGGGCGCATACAAGTTTTGTTATATACGGTGAAAGCCTTTCCCCCACTGTTATAAAAAAGCGTTGCTATGTTAAGCGTGAAAATTGCATGGGTTCAAACCCCGATGAAACAATGAATACTTTCGGTCGTAGTCTTATATGTTAGCTTTTAAATAAAACACTTCAACGGTTTAAAACGTGATGTAAAGTAAAAAACTTTGCTACTGCTACTTTGACACCCTCCATCTTTAGTCTATCATTGACCAGGGCTGCTGCAAAGCATCCGAAACGTCAGGCCTTAGTTAAAATAATTTTCAAACAAGTTTAACTAATATATATCGCGTTTTAAACCGTTAAAGTGTTTTATTTAAATGTGTATTAATCGCATAAACTACAGACAGTATTTTATGTGTAAGCTGCTATAAAAAGTAGGTAGGTCCAATAAAACACGCACAGAGTAAAAATATAATTATAGAAAGCTAACATTTAAAATTACAAAATGCACATTGCTTCCTAAAAAAGATTATATTTATATACATATATATCTGAATGGATTAACTATTCTTGTAACTAGAGTATAAAATCATTTTAATACAATGATTATTAGAAGGCTTTAAGCAGAACATATTGTAGATGGCTATTACAATTAAATTAATTTAGCATACTTTAAAAATAGCTAAGCTTCTCTCTAAATATAGTTCTAGGGGTATCAATAAAACACCTAATAGTGAAGTAACGTCTTTTAATTGCGATACAGATCCTTAGAATAAGAAATATAAAACATAATATACAAAATAAATAGTTACACTAAGACCACTTACAAATCTACTTTTCTTTTCTTCATAACCTTCATGAATAGAACCATATCTGTAATAAATAAAAATTAGTTTGAAAAGGTGAAATCACGTTTCTCCCCGTGGGCCATGGGGCAAACACACCATTTCAACAATCGCTTATATTAACAGGCAAGTAATTTATCAGATTTCTGTGTCCTGCCCGACTGAAACAATCTATTGTTACCACGGGTTTTTGAACCCAGAACCTCTCATTCTTAACACATTGTTAGGCAACATATAACCATGTAGCTTCAGAGGCATAGAAGAATTTGATAAGCTATTAGGCTTAACAAATTCTTATTAACTAAGGATCTAAAAATGGAAGAGTTCGCTCATTACTGGTTGAGCTTGACTGCATTTATTAATTTAAATTTGAAACTTACTTATAAATATTGCCATGACAACCGCAAGCATGAGCCAAAGCCAACATTTCCATGCGCTGCGGCTATGCTCCTGAAGTCTCTCAGATTCAACTTTTAGTGAAATCAAGTTTTTATCCGTTAGATCTGATGACTTCTGTAATGCCTAGAAAACAAAAAAGAATTTAAAATTATCATCCATCATGTGCAATCCATTTGTGAAAAATATTTGTTTTCAAAAATTATATATAGATGTTAAAAATTGCATAATGCCTTTTCCTTTTTAATAGCCACAAGTATTTGAAAAAATCTTAGGACAGATATTAGAAAATAAACATGACTCGTACTTCTGTATCAGCCTTTATGATTTTGCTAGCTATCTGTGATTGTTCTTTCAAACTCTTTGTGAGCAGAACCATGTTTTCAGCAACTTTCTCTTGCATATTTTGGTGGTATTTTAGTAGAGAATCTATGTCTTCTTGACTACTGCTATTGCTAGTGAAGTTTGGCGCCTTTATTATATTACGCCGTCTTAATGTGTCATCATTATCTTCTGGAAAAATAGTACAAATCTAAGCTAAATTTTATTAATATTTAATGATAATATATACCTTTCAAAGAAATCCATGGATTCATCTCATGATAAAAAAAGTTAATCCTAACTATAGCTATAACAATAAAATAATAATTTTAAACTCTTCTTCAAAATTTAAAAAAGTCTTCATAGTGTCTGTAGTTCAAGTGAATACTGACATTTAAATAAAACATGAAATATTGGTTTATTTTATATCATGTCTATTAAAATTTGCTACCAACCTGGACCAAATAATTCTGACCGCAGCTCTAAACCATATTTTGCTACGGTTTTCTGGTGGATTTCTTGTGCTGCAGCATCAACTGACATGGTGGCTGCTCCGTGTGATAGTAACTGTACGGCTTCTAACTGTAATTAGTAAGAGTGAAATTTATATGTTACATGTTTTTGGTAAATCCAATGGGAGTTTGGTTTCACCTTTTCCGTTGGACTGTTTAATGTAGCCGTCTGTATTAGACCCTTTAAGAATTGTACTCTCTTGGAATATTCAGGAAACTCCGTGGGGGGCTTTCTGAAATGTTTAATATATATCTTGGTCAATAAAACTGCTAAGAACTAGCACCAATGCTTAGGTTTATCCATGTATGCTTTTCACTTACTTACTCTAGATATTCAGCTTTTAATTCAGCCAGCATGCCCTCTAAGTTTTTTACATATTGCTTTAATCTAGAATTCGCGTCAAGTGGCTCTTGTTTTGCCATTAATTCGCATTTATTTAGGAGAACGCGAACATTGACTTCTGTTCTCGTCCTCGTTGGTAATGTGCAGTTACCCATACGCGGATCTGGTTGAATAGCCATTATAAACACTAGTTCTGATCACTGTGATGTTAAAATATGTTTAAATTATATATGTTTAAATATAATGTCAACATTTGACAGTTGCGAACAGTTCTTGACATTGACATACAGACACCCGTCCACAACGATGCAAGTGTTGTCTGTACAATCCAATAATCGTTCAATGACTAATTTATTTTACACGAAAATGGGTAACTTGTTTATTTTCCCGTTTTTTATTTGTTTTGTTGGGGCTACAATAAATGTTTGATATTATTCTTAGGCATAGGAGTTTTGACTCTAACGAGATATGGGTATAAAGGCGTCACATAAGTATAATAAGCATATATTCTTAAATATACAATAAATATCGCTTCGCTAAAATGTAATACACAAAATTTATTAGTCCTTAGCTCGGAATAACAAGTGTTACATTTAAAGAAACACATTTTCTGAAACTTGTAGAAATGGAATATGTTGTGTCCTGACCGAAAACGAAAATCAAAAGAGTTTGCATGATATGTGATATAAGCATGATGCAGTTATCCTGAAGGAATGAGTACATTAAAACGATTTGTATTGACCATCCAAGGCTTTTATTAGGACAAAAAGGAAAATTAAGATTTAGGGGCTTGTTTCTTAGCAGCTTCGGCTTCTGCTTCACTCTTTTCGAAATTTGCAATAAGTTTCTCCACTTCAGTGCTGGTGAGAATTCTGATAACAGTCTTGTCATTTTTGCGTGTCAGAGTCGCCATTTCCACTGTAAACAATCATTTGTAGTTTTATGAGAATTTTTAACTATTATGTATTATGCTGGTAATACAATAAAACACAAATAAGTTTTTACAATACTTAATATAACAAATTGTTGAAACAAATGTATATGTTTCAATCATTTTTAATGAAAAGATTGATGCCTCAGTCATTAAGTACTATAGAATTATATTAGGGCACAGTATCTGAAACACATACAGACTATATCATTGTGCACATAGAAGAAATGTAATTATAAAATGTTTAAAAATCATACCTTTTTCTGGAGTTAACTTAGTCATATCCAGAGTTTTGCTAAGCACTTTAATTGCCAGAGCTTGGGCTTCGGCGAGGGTAGTTTCATTCTCCTTGTACTCTTGTTTCAAACTTGAAACTGCAGCCTAAAATTTAATTAATAATAATTTAACAACTTTAATTTTCTTTATAGTCTTTAAGTTATCTAAACTTAACTTACAGCACTATTGTTGCCAATGCATGTAGCTTTCCAACCGCCATAATTACCACTGGGGTCAGACTGATATAGCTGGTAACCATAATGTTTGTCCCAACCCATGTAAAGAATTGATACACCAAATGGCCTCTTACCTGAAATTATTTTATTGATATAAATAAATTTGACTAAGATGTAAGGTATAAATTCATTAAAAGGTTTGGATACCGCCAGCGTCATGCATCATGTTTTCATCATGTCAGCAGCATGTTTTAATAATACTGTCTCATATTTTGTTTATAGATAAAAATAAAAAAGTTAGTACCTCCATATTGAGTATATGCCTGTTTTACATCACATAACCATGAAACAAGCTGTTCACAGGGTATAGATTCACCATATTGCAACAGGTATCTTTGAGCAATCAATCTCAGCTCATTTGTTAATACATTTGCATCAGATGTTATTCCAGCGACGGAGCAAACCATATCATCGTTCAGTTTGTAAATTTTTTCAGAGAAAAACACTTCATCAAGTAGTTTGTTTGTATTTCTTCTCTCTGCGGCAAGAAGGATGCCATCAGTTGCTAGAATACCGAGGGAGGTCCCAGCGTGGCTAATGGCTTCCATAGCATACTCAACTTGATACAATCGACCTGCAAATAATATTATGTACTTATATATGAAAATTGCACAGTGTATTTGACTGTCAGGTTTAGATTAATCTTACAATATTATTACCTTCGGGTGAAAAGATTGTTGTTCGGGTATCATAACGACGAGCCTGGGAACATAACACAACAAAATCATTTAATAACTTCAAGTTTTACATTCAATGACCAAGCAAAAGTTGCTAACCTAATGGCGACTTATAAATTTTTATTAAACTATGGTTTAACACTAAAAATTCAGTTAAGCTTACCATGGTATTAAAGTTTAAAAGATATTTAACTCTTAAAATAGCTAAGAACTCGTATTTAACTGATAAAAACTTATAAACCGCTTTGTAATTCTTTGCTTATTTCTGTTTGTTCGATGCCGGACGATGACATTACAATTTAGAATACAAATTTGACAGTGACATTTCATAGACTAAAATTTTATATTATATTTTCAAATGTCATTTGCAACCATAGACTATCAACAAAAATGTCATTATATTTTAGGCGAAATTATTTATGGGTATATCTCTATTTGTACATTTTAAATTTTGTCCTATATCTTAGCATAGTTACATGGTGATTGTCGAATTATTATAATAAAATCCTTATATACTTGCCTATAATAAAGAATGATGTACTTCATGTAAAATATTTATATGTTGTAGTACTGCCATCTGTTGTTTAGTTTGTAGTTAAACTCTTATATAAAATTTGTCTAATTCCCTGTAATTTTTATCGACATTTTGTTTTTTGATATTGTATATACCATTTAACTATTTGTGAAATTGTTAAGGATGCATTTTAACCTTATTTTTTTATTGTTATTCCTTAGCTACTTATGTCATGTATCTGTTTGTTTCCTTTTGCTAAATAAATAAAAATTACGCTCACTAAACCGATGAATAGTTTTTTTTAACGTATATTAGGAAGTACCCGTATCGACTGTAAGCGACTTCGTCCGCGAGAATCGTTATTTTGGACATGTCGCGTCCCTTTCCATCGTACTTGCAAAATAATCTTAAACGATAGACATATAGCGTCGCGCCCTTTTTTTAGATGATTTAAAGGTGAATCATTTTTTGATACATATTTTTTGGCTATCATAAACCGTTTTTGCAGCGCACGTCTCGGAAACCCTTAGTGATAATAATTTTCCCAATTTTTGTCACATTTCTCGCTGTATCTTCGCTCCTACTAGTCACAGGACGATCCAAACTCTTCAGCACTTTTATATTGGTATAGATTAGTATTATTATAGATATATATATAAATAATATAATATATAGATTTAAATATGCGGAAACGTCAAGTTACATTTGTGACTTGAGTATGGTCGATATAGTGGCAATGTTGGTTGACGAGCTGTCATTGAGACGTGACAAACGGTCATTGACAACTTGTAATTTTGAAAAAAACTTCGCTGATTCGTCGCATTCGAAGTCGGATTTTTTGAGTTAAGAGACAACGTTTCGTTAAAAACTAATAGAGAGCATTTTTAAACAAAAATGCCACTCATTACGTATCCACATATTGATTTACTGTAACTGTGTTTCAAATGGAAGGAAAAATAAAAACAATACTTCTTATTTTTTAATTAATTTTAATAAAAATTATATCCAACACTAAGTTCACTTAGATCTACTTATTATTATTATTTGCTGTTCTACAATAACAATAAAAGTATTATCCTTTTACAAACGCGATCTGGCACCAACTATAAGTTTGAGATGGTCAAAAACACATTTTCATTCAAGCAGCTGAACTATTTGAAAACTAGCACAATAAGTGAACTTTAGTAACAAACACGCGTAATGAAAAAAAGAATTGAATTTACTATACGTAACAATTTATGTTACGAATATAAATTTCGCACCCTTAACTAAATAAACATCGAAAATAAATTAGCAAAAACAATTCACGACAAATTCATAACAAAGTTTTTTTTAATACATTCACAAGATATTTTCTTTCGAGTTAAATTAAAAAAGTGTAAAATCTAAGCGCAACTATCGCCATCTGTTGAGCCGTCGACGTCAATTAGTCATAGAGTTTTTCTAGTAGTCGAAATAAGGTCAACAATAGGTTGTACTAGAGTGTACGTGAGAATTATTACCACAAATGTGATTAGGGCTGTAGCGAGTGGACCCTGCGTAGTAGAAAATCGGACACTATTAAAACCCAAGATCATAGTAATCAGCCCCATGCTAAGTGCGAACATGCCTACAGCCACGTGGAAAATCTTCACTGGATTGCTCTTCAGAAGTAATCGTACTTTCGACGAGAAAAGTGCGATTATTCCCGATATAAAACTCATCATTGTGAACGCTAGAGCCACAACACCTGAAACATTAAAAAATATTTGAACACCAATTTTACTCGATTGTACATTAATTAAACCGGTTCCTTATAGCCTTATTAGATATAAATCTATATATTGGCATATACATTCAATTACTTCAATAATTTGCTACTAGTAGTTATAAAGTGTAAAAAATAATATTTTAATGAATGGTAATTTAATTTTGATCTTAAATTTTCACAGTTATTTTTAGAATAACTTGTTAATAAATATAGGCGAGACTAGGCATCGATCTATTTAAGGTAGCAGTAACTATTTACATATATTTTAGAATTTCCAAAGGCACGATATGTGCCTTTACATGGTATGTGGCTATAAAGCTTTTAGAAAATGAACTCTTTGCTTGTCTGCCCCGCTTTATCATAAAAAAAAACCTTAATATACATTCAAAATCGATTTTAAATTGAATTACGACACCGACAAGACTTGAACTAGCATAGCAGCATAGCATAGGTTAGAGCAACAGACGGAAGCTAGAGGAAGCTGTAGCGTTCCGTGCTGTTGCTCTAACCAATTAAGTTATTGTGTCAAGCTGGACACGCCGGTTAATGTGCTTACCGTGTCATAAAATTGATTTAATCTAAAATCGAATTTTAATTTAGGTATATAGTGCCATCATGTGCAATAATATGTAAAAATATTAAAGTTTGCCAACCAAGTGTTTTATTAATTTTATTACACGTGTATGCTTGTTTTAAAGTGTCTAAACAAACATTCTATCGAGTGCCTATTTCGTCACCGTCTTCTTAAGTCGGTTCCTTTTTATCATATCAGAATCACATGTCAGATTGTTACGAGTGCACAGATAAAATATTGCCAAAGTTTTCTTACCGCAAATGGCGTGTGGTGAGCTAATCTGCATGTTGACCTGGGATAATCCAAGAAACGTTCCAGCTAGGACGAACAGGGCTCCGAGGATTTGCAGGCAGCCGTGGACAACACGTTTACTGTCCTTGCTTAATTGATAGGACCACGTGTTGTGTCTGTGGAGAGTTAAAACTGACTCCACTAGGAACAGTTGGTACTGAAAACAGTCAATAGCTTGATTTACCTTCAGAGTTAGAAAGATCTAGGTGCGTCTATGGCATATATTTTTAAAGTATACACATACACATTTATTTTATTTAAATTAAAATACTTAAATCCTAATGGTTCCGCAATAATTTGAAAAGTTAAAACTAGTATTTGACAAATATATTTGTACATAATATATTCTACATAGTCTAAAAACACGGATAATCTCTGTGTTCAAACTAGACAAAGGAGGAACACGAGACGCTACAAAGACATTGTCGGACGATATACGTAGATACATAATTAAAAACTTCATACCAATGTACATTAGTATACAGTTTCATTTAAGAAAATTTAAACCACTTAAACGGTTAAAAATGCGATGTATATTGGTTTGGGGGGGGAGACGCGTCCCCGGCTGTTGCAAAGTACCCGAAACGTCGTGCCGTAGTTAAAATAAGTTCCAAATTGGCTTAACTAATATACATCACCTTTTAAACCGTGAAAGTTTTCTATTTAAATATGTACTACTACTTGGGTAAATTACAGACACTAATTAATTATATACTTGATACTTTTTTTTAAGACTTTAGCTTAATATTACAAAAATTCTAAGAGAGTCAGTTTTAGATCCTTTTCACAGTAAATAGGAATAGAAAATAAATCCTGTAATTTATTATACATGAAGTTATCAAATGGAATGTAAAAATCTACATACACCGGTTCCAGCGAAAACGATGTGTAACTGAAGGTTAGTGATCGATCCATCTGGCTGCGAAGTAAGGGCATACCGCCATAACGAGAACACCACAATCGCAATCTGCATATGCTGCAGCAGATTCACGAGCTGGCATATGGCTGTCCATGCTGACTTCCAAGAGGATTCATACAACTCCCCACTCTCCTCGTCATACGCAGCGGGCGCCCTCGTCACTTCAGCTTGGTACGGAACATGCTCGCGGACTTCGAACATTTCCACCTTCTCAATCGACTGTTTACTAGTACTAGGTCGATCCATCATCTTTCGATTCACGATGTAGACCCCACGATTTCTAAGAACCACTTTTTCAACACAGTCACACCTCACCAGAGTAAAAATGATACAACATTAGATAGATAAAGTTAGGAATTCGATCGTTTCGACTATCTTGTAATTGACAGTTTGGAGATTGAGTTGAGGTCTTGAGAAATAGTGAGATATCGGCAGACGAGATAAATTCGCTAGATTCTTTATCTCGTGTGGAAGTGTTGAAATAGCAAATTAGATTGTTACGAATTCTGCGATATGCTTTGAGGAAGATATGGCGTTGGCTAGGTCTTAATATTTTTTGTCATTTATCAACTGCAAAATTACGGTGTATAGATTACGCAAATATCGTTAAGCATTTTTTGTATTTGTTGTCCACGTGCTGCGTGATCCGCACTCGGTTTTGGTTCGTTTTGGTCTGTGGTGGTTTTGTAAACTAAAATAATATAAATATTATGTACATAGACAAGAAGACTCTTAAAAGTACTTCAAGCATTATTAAAAGATTATTCTCGTACTAATAAAAGAAATAATAAAAAGTTGCTAACGTCATCTAGTATACCAAAGTAAAACTGTTATACCAATTTTAGTTCTGCTACTATATACTAGATGGCGTTAGTAGTAACCAAATGATGAGCCGCACAAGATGAATAAAAATTTAACACGCCAATTATTATTGATACTTTGTTTTAAGCGTTTGTTAAGAATGAAGGAAGTTTATTTATTTTAAATCATTTTAACATTATGTAGTTAAAAAAAAGAGATCTGTTTAGATCGTATCATCAATAGGTTAATTTTGAATTAACCACTAAATAGTTACTAGTGTACCATATTCGAATAAATACTTGTAATAATTTAATTCTTACCTGGGGGCCTATATCACAACGTGACCATTTGTCTTACTAACACAGAGTATAAAGTATTATGAATCTATGATATAATTTGAAGATTTTTTTGATAGCGTTCAGTAGATGAGCTGTTCCTATTAAAATCGATTTTAAAGTAGTGTTTTGTGATAAATAGATTACTTTAAACTCCATATCCATGAATGAATGAAAATAGATTTTTGTATATCTTAAGATATTTTTATTATAGACATCGGTCGTTTGTTCTTGAAAACATATTATGAATTATATAATTATATTATCTATGAATAACTGTATAAAACAATTGTTTTATTAAGTTGTAATTTTTTATCTATTATTTATTTATTCCGAAAAAAAAAAAAGTCTAATGTTAAACGTTTTATTTTTATTTTTTATCATTATTTTTGATAATTTATTTATTCTGTTTTTTTATTTTTTATTATGGGGAACAAATTTTCTAAAGGGTGTATTTCTAAATAATATTAATACGTTTACTAACTTATTGATAGCAATTCGCTAAAGCTAAAGACATACTTAGCTGCCTGTCAATTTTATTTATATAAAAAAGACAGTTAAACTAATGAAAAATATACAAAATTCTACGCGAATACTATATTGCATAATAAAACACTTTCAACGGTCTAAAACGCGAAATTCATCAGTAAACTTATTTTTAATTTATTTTAACTAACGCCTAACGTTTTGCAGTAGCTGTCCTATAATAAATTTATATTATTTCGCGTTTTAAACAGTTTATACTGTTTTTAATATATATATTAAATAAAGAAAAAAGTAACCTTGGTCCGGTGCACTATGCTTGACTTGAATGTCGATTACTAATCGATTGTTATCCTCGGTGCATCGATTATAATCGCTTAATGAGATTACGCGTCAGGAAAATCGATATTTGGTTGTATGGAGTAAACGACATCTGTATTCGATTCTGAAAAGATTATGAATGCCTCTCAATTTTATTTAAGGATCTCCCAGCTTAATTTTGCACCACGGGATTCCGTTACCCTTGTTATATGTTTTTCTATTTAATCTTATCAACACCATATAAAACAGCCATCTCTCTTAAAAATTCAGTGGTTTAGCCATCTAAGATTAACTGGAATAAGCCGAGGGATTGATAGATAATTTGTATCGAAGTACTTATTCTTCCAATATAACGCCGAGTCAATAAAAAATTTCCAAGTACAGTCCAATTTTATCTTTAGTATAAGACAATATTCGTACAGTCGGCTGTGTAAGCATCCGCAACGTCCGGTCGTAGTTAGATAAATACAAAATAAGTTACCTATGTGAAGGCGTAATATATTTCACCTTTTAAACCGGTAAAGGGTGTTTTTGAAATATTTTTTATCACGAGTAGGTTTTTTATATTTTTAACCGAAACACCAACGAGTCCATTTGCATGGTGCATTTTTTTGTATAAATTATCATACTGTCTGTAGTTTACGAGAGTACTACACATTTATATAAAGCACTTTAACAGTTTAAAACGCGATCTATATTAATTAAACTTATTTGTAAATTATTGGTCACGAGCACCACGGCTGCTGCAAAACATCCGAAACGTCGGGCGTTATAATTATTCGCGCACAAACCGATCTATCGTGAGTCGATAAGATGATTATAATTATCATTTCTTCAACTCTACTCAAAACTTCAAAATGTTTCCTGTAAATCACTCGGTCCTCACGTCATTCCCATACTTGTTATAAATCGACGGACGCGCCGGCATCCACTACACTCGATTATTATCATTAGATTTATCACTATGCTATGCGCCCGCGCAAGTAACGCCGTTATAGTTCCTCTACAATCAAGCGTTTGCTCTTCGTGTTTTATTGGAATTGAAAACGGTTTAGTACACTTGCATTATCTCTTAGCATTTACTATATCACTAGATAGAGAAATGTTTGGTTAAATAAAAGTGATGAGAAGTATTCCTTAGTATACATTAAGTAGGTACTATGAAACAAATCTCAATTAGATTCAAACGTACTTTTTTTTCTTGTACACTTTACGCAAAAGTAAGCAAGTGGTTTTAATTTTTCCTTGTTATCTGAGCTGTAAATTTAACTAATTACAAAGCATTGATAAATATTTTTGTGAACAAAAATACTGATAACTAAATAATGAATTCAAATTATAGACTCGTATGTCTAATTTATAAATTTAGAAGAAAAAAAGTATTAAGTAAATTTTTATTTGTGCAATTAAATAATAACATATTAGGTATGTTATAGAATAATATGTTTCCAACCAAAGCGTACATTTTATTTTAAGTTGATTTTTACAAAAAAACATTTAAATAAAAACACTCTTAACGGTTCAAAACGGATAGTGTATTAGTTAAACCTATTTGCAATTTATTTTAACTACGGCCGGACGTTTCCGATGCTTTGCATCAAAAGTGGTCACGGGGGGGACTAAACATGGAGGATGTCCATAATGTGCATCTTTTCCGTCGTAGTTGGTAGGGCCATAGTTAAATTAAATTGTAAATAAATTTAAATAACTCATTTCGCGTTTTAAACCGTTAAAAGTCTTTTACTCCTCACGCAAATTACACACAGTACTTAACAAAAACAAAATGAAATGACACAGAAATAATAAAGAATCCTTATCTCGATCTAAAATATTCTAAAGAGAATCAAAGTACAGGATAAATTATACGGTTATCATACCGTCATAAACCTAGTTTTCTGTCGGTGAGACTCTACAATCAATATAACATTTGCGACTAGTTAATATCTTAATAAGAAACTAATAGAGATTATAGCTCCGACTTCTATAGGGGTGGGCTAGAACGACCCTGTGTGGTCCCGTCATCGCAACGCTAGGCATGCCCGCTATCGATAAATTTTAGTCGATAGTCGATAGTCGATAGCCCCGGGGCACGTGAAAAGGAATTTAAATTGGAGCGGTGAAAGCGTAATCTAAAATTCCAAAGTTTAAAGTAATTCTTCAAGCTATTAAAGTTAGATGCATCCTGGAACGAACATAGGGTTTGGAATTTTATCGATATAAATTGAGACCAACACTATAGTACGTTTAATTTTACATCAGCCATTTAATTTCCATTATCGTTTATAGAAATTGTATAGGATAGTATAGAATTGGTTTTCCGTATCATTACCGACTAAATGATACAAGTTAATAGAAGCAACAATCTATAAAAACCATTAGTTTTGTCAAGAGTAAAATATTTGACGGTATCGTTGGTCTAATTTACTATTAGACCAACGATACCGTTTGGCCAATGTGTGGCTAATAATCAACGGGTCGTGGGGGTCGGGGGGGGGGGGGGTCGTGTTTCAAGTTTTTTTTTAAATAGAATGTAGAAATTCACGAAAACAAAAGCTCACGACCCTTCCTCGATAAATGTTCTAACGAACACAAAAATAACTATTCAATCCTATCCAGTAGTTCCAGTGATTAGCGCGTTCAGACAAACAAACAAACTCTTCAGCTTTATATATTAGATTATATTACTTAAATTTATTTGAAAATTATTTTAACTACGTTTCGGGTGCTTTGCAGCAGCCGTGGTCACGGGGAGATCTTTACTTAAATGTGCACTACTTGCATAAGCTAGGGACATTTTAATGTTTAGGTTAATAATTATTAAATTATGTCTTCCGAGTATTCAACTACCAATATAATATTTGAAATTTATTCTATAATATAAAAACACACACCTATGTGGTCTTGCCAATCGTAATAGCCCGTGTCTAATAGGAAAATTCTCTCCCGCGGGAACATCTAATGATTTTCGCCGAGGAAATCTTCCTGTCATTGTTTTTAGATTATCCGTAATAAACGACTAGATGGGACGTGGAATCTATTGATTCTCAGATTCGAGACAGTAATTATTATAATATCAAGTAATCGTAGCGCATTTATTGATAAAGAATTTTCTTATATGAAAACAAGAAATATGCAAATGCTTATTGCTTAAATAACATAATATAAAAATGATGCTTATGTTTAAATAAAACACTTTAACCGTTTAAAACGCGATTTATATTAGTTGAACGTATTAGAAACTTATTTTATTATTGGCAGAGTGGCCTAGTTGTAATTAGGCCACTCTGCCTCTAGTGCAGCCCCGTACTA